TACTCTGCTGGGACATTTAAATATCTTTATTATAAGTTCAGTATGCAGGGGTTTATTCCAGGAAAAAAATGAAGTAGTTTTTTTCTCACCGGTTCTTTATGTTTTTTGGGGTGATGAATCCGAATCTGAGGTTCGCCAACTCACCAGACGTCAGCTTCACATGAAAAATTGCAAAACACCTTAAATTTTCGGCACTTTTTTCAGGTTTTCATCTATAACTCGGAAACTAAGCGGTTTTTAATTATAACTAACTATGCTATACCAAATTAGACAAAATTTCCTACAAGTACGTATAATAACTCCAAAGTCTCGGCAATTCATAACGTCGTAAGATCGTGTTGAAAAAATGGCGTTTCTTGAACGTTATTCTAACAAAGGTTTTGATGAAAGGAAACATTATTTGTAACATATCGATATTTGCGCAAAAAAAAGCAAAAGCACCGTTCATATTTATTATGGACAAAGTTTGTCAGTACCTGCTGCATAAGGCTCAGGATTGCTTTCGCCTATGTTCAGTTTAAATGGACCAAGTTGTATATGCGGAGCGACGCTTTCTTTCAAGTCCTGTCTGGGCAGTGGACTGCTCTAATTCTTGAAGGATGAGCGCTGGTCCCCCTACTGAAAAATAGTTGTTTTCCTAATCAGTGCGCAAAGTTATGTTCTCTCATACGAAAGCAGTTAGGGATAAGCTTTTTATCGATAGAGCTCGTGTTCCTCTATGGGCACACCAATTTAGAGCCCGATTTGAATTTCGACCAGACGATTCGGAATTTTACAAAAAAAAAAAATCCCCCCAACTTTTGGGGGCAAAGGGGTCCCACTCCCTAATGTCTTCCTAAAAGGGTGAAGAGGGTTTTCATTTAAACGTCGCGAAGTGGGTCCGTTTTCCAGATACCTATCGCGTTTTTTATGTTTTTCAACCCTTTAAAATGTTTAAAAAAAAAAATTGTACCCCCCGCCAATCACGAGATTTTCTTTCTTTCTATCCCCCTAGAAAATTTTCAGCTTGCCACTTCAATTGTTTGGGCTGTGGAAGTGCCGAAAGTCAAATTTTTGACAGCTCCCACAAGACGCCTCGGGGGAGAAGGGAGAAGAAAATTGTTTTTGCTCGATACAATTAGAAGCTTTAGCACCCCTTAAAATTTCAACCTTCTAGCTAGTCGGAAAGTACCGAAAAAAGGAGTATGCGGGGAAAAAAATTCCACACAATGTGCGAGAAAGTGCTACTTTGCGTATGCAAAAGTGTGCGCAAAGTAGCTTTTTTGCGGTCAATCGTAGAAAAAATTATTTTATCACGTTTTGATCTGTGAAGGTATAGTCCTAATTTACAGGAATAAATACTTGATTATGATATTAATTACTTGTAATGCAATAGTATAAATTACCTTCGATCTTCTCAGGCGAAACGTCTTGATCGTCATCACTGAGCAGTATTTCTATATTGAAGCACCTTTTTGAATGAGCATATGCAGGCATTGACAAATTTTGTCTATAATGGACATGAACGACATTGATTCTAATATGGTTATCCAAAGTCTTCATTTTCATTGTTTCAGGTGATAATTCCGCAGATGTGGTGGATGCGAAGAATGAATAATGAATATGAAAATCATTGAAAAATAGTGGTTTTTTTTTGTGTAACTGCCAATTTGTTCCAAATATATACCTATGTTTCCTTCTATCAAAACCTTAGTTGGAATAACGTTTTCAAATGTTTTGAAGGAAAATCAGGAAAGGCCATTTTTTCAACACGATCTAACGACGTTGAGGATTGTCGAGACTTTAGCATTATTATACGTACCTACTTTGTAGGAAATTTGGTCTACCTTAATTTGGTATATCATAGTTATAATAAAAACTAACAAAACGAGAATATACAACACCATAGTCAAAAGCATAGTCACATATAGTTCAGAAGTCTGGCCACTAAAGATCAGAACCACAAAAATGCTGAATTTCAGTTGCTGAAATGGACTTTTGGAGGAGATCGGCAGGCAGGTCAAAAATGGAAAGGATAACAAATCTGAGAATTAGGGAGATTATGGACGTAAAACACACAATAATAGATGATATAAAGGACAAACAGCTGATTTGGTTCGAAAAGCATATTTTATTGATAACCACGAAAAAATACATAATTGAATTGTAGATAATCTATCAAATAATGTTTATGCCAAAGAATTTTGAAAATCACTGCGGATTTTTTGGGATTATCCTAAAACGAATTTTGAAGTTGAAAATTGGTGAAAATTTGACAGTTGCAGTTCAAGCAATTTCAAGTAGATGGCGCCACGGCAAAAAAGCTACATTGGGAGCATCATAATTGTATATTTGTTTTTCTCTTTCACTAATAAGTGTTTCACCGACACCGCCGGCAAACAGATTTTTTTGGTTTGGACAAAAAATAAAATCTTAGACCGTATGTGTAGACTGGCGCATTCGTCATTTTCAAAAACTAAATTGACGCGGCCTTAATGAAATAATGATATGAGCCTAATGATCTTTACTCACATAAACAACTCAATGGGCTTGTTTTGAGTTACCCATAATGAAAAATTAATTTAAGTAGGTACGAACCAATTATGATTAAATAGTTTAGGTATTGACTTAGATAGGTATTTTAACTAAATAAATCAACTACAAACAACCCTTATCTGCAGTCCAGAAGAAATAAGAAATATGATTGACGTAATCAACTAGATGACTGAACAATTATTGTTATATGAGGTTTTCTTATGAAAATATAATTAGGATCAAAACCATAATTATGCCGAAGTATTTGGAGTTAATTAGGTTTAAGTTAATGGGCTATTCCATGCATGGATAGCATATATCGAATATTATACTCACAACACTATATATTATCCCTATACCAACGGTTCATCCAGATTTCAAAAATTTGGTACAGCTTTTAGAGTTCCATTCTATTCTTGACTCAATCTTTTTTTCATCATTGTCGAAATTATACCGATACTTTTTTAGTGGGTCTGATTTCAAGGGTTCACGGAGCGGACTACATTTTGTTCGTGTTTGATTCTGAATTTCAAAATTTTTCGTTGTGATGTTGTTGAACCAAATTTAAATGTGATATTTAATAAAACCATGTCTATTCTTAGTGAAGATGAGTTTTGTCTATTCTTGGTTGTGCTTGGCCCTAAAAACTTACTCATTCAACAAAATTTTGCTTCTATTTGTAGTTTATGCTTCCAATTTCGCGAAACTTAGTGCCAAATAATTGAAAAATTTGATCGTATTAGTCCATTCTCTTTATTGGCGTCCTTTGACCATAGATGTAGGTACCTACTTACTGAATTTTTCAGGGCCACTGGGTTTATATCATTAGACATTATCTCCAAAACTAAATAGAAAAACCTTTACGATGCTAGTTTTCATTACACAATAATTGTTTTCAACCTAATACTACTAGAGTCATCTAGAATATACCTGACAGACTACATTAAAGATATTGTTTCATTAAAGATATTGTTTTTTGAAAAAAAAAAAGTTTGCATTTAAATAGCGCCCAATAGTAGATCGATTTCTGGAAAAAACAGCGAGAATGCCGAGAATTGGACGCTTTATTGAATATGCGCCACATCGAAATATGCAGCAAGTCTATGTTAAAACCATTGAGGTAGAATAATGAGGCGAAATGATGAGACCCACTTCCGCCATATTGTTACTGTACTTCTGTCTGAGAGTTTGTCACTTTTGTCATATCGTCGCGTCAGTATTGCATCAGGGCTGCATTTTCCATCCGAAGATGTTTTAAATGCGAAAAATTTTTGAAGCGCAGAATTCCTATTTTGAATCTCGATTTTCTACATACGAATTATAAAGAATCCATTTAGTTCGGCTCTGTTTAAGTAGGCACATTAACTGCTTACGATCAAGCACTTTTCTTACCTAAGTTAAAGTTAGTTTCTTAGCTGAGCTAAGTTGTTTGATCGTACGCGCAATTCATGTCTCGTTATTTTGTATATGTGATCTGTTCCATCAACTGGTATATTTAAACTTATTATTTCCTCGTCGTTAAATTCAAAACTGAATTTGAAAGTCTGATATTCCATTTTGTGCAATGACAATAATGAATAATTAATTTCATTAAACTAAACACCTTTTCAAAGTTCCTGTTCCAACGACCAACTTTCAACAAAACAAAAATAAAGAAACATGTACCTCAATTTAGAAATTATCAAACGTCAAATATTCAAAAAATGCGTACTTCGCGCCAACTTAAGTCAGCTAAGTTATCTCAGTTAAAAATCCGGGTGTCTTAGCAGGGGAAAGGGAGGAGGGCAGATTCTAACTTAGTTGTGACAAATCGTACGCACAACTTAGTTAGATTCTTTAAGTTAGGTAAGAAAAGTGCTTGATCGTAAGCAGCTAATAGCTGCTTACGATCACTAAGCCTACACCGTTACCCTTATATCCTTATATCTATATTGCACTATTCAAATGATGACTGCGTCTTCTTTATTATCCTGCATTCTACCTCAGTGGTTAAAACAGCGTATTGAATTCAGTTATAACTTTATTTTAACATTTCACCTAGTAAGCCGTTCACAGCCAAATCAATAATCAGCCTCCCAGAATTGCTGTGTTCAAAGTTGCAAGACATGAAAAGCGAGTTGAAAAACGCAACAGGCAACAGGATTTGTCAAAGACATGTTTTTCGTTTTTTGCGCATGACAAACCTCGGACAGTGGAAACTGAAAGTCCCATTCGCCAAAAAATGGCCTATTAAAACCCAGATGGATCACAGGGAAACATTCACCCATACTGCATGTACATATACTATTTCTCCCATTTTTATGTTATATCTTTTGATGCCAATGATGCCCAATTTTCAGTCTTCCTTCCGCGGGAAAAATTAAACTAGGAATATTTACTCTCTTTCACGCACAAGCTTTATTAATAAAATTGATAAAAAAGTATCACATTTGTATTACTAAATATATATATTTTTTTTCACATAATATAGGCGAATGTTATAATTTATTATAATAAATATATAATTGTTATATTAAATGTATTGCCTTAAATATTTTATTGTTGAAAGGCCCTAACTCGATGGAAAAGGTATAAATGTACTTTTTTGGAAGCCAGAATAATTTATATATGGATTGTTTTGTGATAAACAACCAGAAAGATTATTTGAGTATACGTCACTTATGCTAACTTAGGTATAGGTATTAATGATGAAACATTTCCTAATAATTTTAGAAATGTTAAATTTTTGGTATATGAACTTAAATATAATGATTTAACAACAATGGTGATCAATTTCCGAGTTTTTCGCGTTGTCTCCTATTGGCTCTCCGTCCTATATGTAGTAGAACATCACCGGACTTAATTTGCTTGAATACGTTTATAGCTTCTTTATGCGATGTTCCATGTAAGGGTTTGTTATTAACTGCCAAAATTTCATCACCTAAAAAATAGATTGAACTGCATTCTAGAAATCAAAGATAAATATCCATGGTCTGTGAGTATTCTAAAACGAAACACATATTTTTTCGCTGGCGTGCAGAAATGTAAGTTTTCCGTACTAATTTTTTCTGACGTTTCTGCTGATGTTACAGTATCAACAAGTAAATGGCAACGTTTATAATTAAGATCTCTGGTGTTACCAGATAAAGTTCTGACAGCAGCGAATACCGCCAGCAAATATACATCCAATATATCGCAGGGTAGGTTAGTACCAAAAAAAGTTAATTTTGTTTGATAAATTGTTTTCTGATGAACGCTAAATGCCAAAGTAGAGGCATTCTTAATTTACTCTTCAAACCTTTACTACCAAAACTCACTACAACTTTGGTAGTTGCAGAGCCTATCATATCGGCTAGAAGAATTAACATTCTTATCGCTGGAGCAATATTGAATAAAAAGCATACCTACATTTTTTTAATAGCCATTCTGAATATTTCTGATCTTGAATCATATTTGTCAAGAGAGTTCGTTGTGTTAGATCACTTGCAATTTTATGATAAATAAAAGGCCTTGCGGCCACCAAACAGGTCCCGCGATATATCGTAGCCCTTTAATTATGAAAATTGGTAAAAGCCTTCACTAATGACTTCCATCGGCAAATCTTTACCACCCTTTTTTTGATAAATATTAAAATTTCAGCTCAAAATCTTGTACAGCAGATGAACCTTAAGAACATCCAAATTTGAACTATTTTTCTAAAATAAGTAGCCTTGAAAATATACCCCAAAGTATTTTTGAACACAAAGGGAATCATATTTTGAAAATAAATCGACAACAACTAAAATGTATCTGTAGTAAACTCCAAGAACGGTGACTTTTTGCTAATAACCAAATCCGTATCATTTTTCGGTCTTGTTAGTGACGCTTAGCTTCAGGACACCCTGTTTATCTGCGAACGAAAACCCTTAAATTAGCATTGTCGGTAGATGTCCAACCTGTATACCAAAAATCGTTTTTCTAGGGTGAGCCGATATTGAGCTAAAACGCCAACAGACAGACAGACAGACCGACGAAATTGAGGAAACATTATTTCCGTAATCTAGGGACCGGAAAACGTATAAAAGTGAAAATATCTCGAAGTCGATTTAAGGGAAGTAAAAATGGGAAATGCAACGAAGAACTGGTGGGTTTGTGGGTTTAGAAACGTCAGGAAAGATTCTCGTACACACTGCTTCATATCTGAGAATTGAAGATTTCCTGGAAAAAAAAATAATGAAATAGCTAACAAACTTTTTTCAAAAACCTCCAGAATCAAGCCTCATCTCCAGCCACCAATTCGACGCATCCCATTGCCATACACACCACCTATTTGGTAACTAACAACCCATTTAAAATTAATATTAATCACAACCCTTAACTTTTTCATTGAGTCACAATGAAAAAAATGTGTTTTTGGCCGCTACCAACCTGACCTGTAACATCAATTAAATGCATACCTATACTTAGTACACATAAAATTTTGCACTTTTTTTTTTCAAATACTCGTCTTGGAAAAGACGGTGTTTCGTTTCAAAAATTTAGGTACAGTTAAGTAAAAAGATATCTTCCCACATACCTTCTTTGAGAGTTCCATTTTCAGCTGCCTGTCCATTAGGAAATACAGTTTTAACATATATTCCCAAGCTACCTTTCGGCGAATCTTTACCTCCAACTATGCTAAATCCTAAAGGCTTGAAATTGTGACCTTTTTTAAACAAAACTTGCTTGATTGTGAATGAATTTCCTCCCCTTGGCAAGGTACAAAATTTACTCTCCTCTTCTTCGATCTCTTCCAACTCTTCTATAGAGTCCTAAAAATAGATCGGTTAATAAATGCGAAAGGAGTAGTCTTATCTTTAGTTGTTTAATGAACAATTACTAAAAATCGTCTTAAGTTTAAGAAGTTATTTCTGGGATTCTCTATTGATTAATAGAAAACCCTTGATAAGTTTATTAAACAAACATGGGGACCAGATAAAAACATTTCTTTTCCTTGTATTTTCAAAACGTCTGTCGTTTGTGCTCGAAAATTTGGTACCTAATCTATAGAATGAATTTCATTTTAAAAACATATTATGTCTTCAATTGCAACTAAAGGCAGAATATTTTGAATTAAGAAGTTGAATGATAATTATTCGGTATAACTTAGCCGAAAGTTCAAATTGACTTTCAATTTCAAAGTCATAAAACCACCAGATAATAGTTCAAGCCAGTAAACAGAAAATTATAGAACTGCTAAAAATATTACTAATTATTATGATTAGTTCATTAGGAACAGGGCAATGTGGCCTTAATTCCGCGCAACCTTCATAGTTCATGAGCCCATGTTCTCCTCAATCTGTCGTTCTTACTAAGGGCAAGGACATTAGGTGCCAGGTTATCATTGGTAAGGCGCACGTGGTTCGCTTGGTGTCCCCAAAAAGTTTGTATCTCATGTCAGTGCCGGAGAGGAGAAGAATACCTATGTCAGTTTCTGATGTCTTCTCATCTTGGTACATTCTGCAGGCAAAGGGTCCCTAATGGACTCAGATTGTGTGGAATTGCCTTCTACGGTGGCAGTGTTTTATTGAGAAACTCAAAACATTCCTGGCGGTTGTTAATGGCGTACCCAAATATCACCAGCGGTGCCTAAGAAGGATCCTGCGGATTGAACGGCAAGACCGACAAACAAACATTAGTGTTTTAAAGGAGGCCAAAACAACTAGTATTGAAGCCCTCATCATTAACCACCGACTTCACTGGACAGGTCACCTTGTCCGCATGCCCGAAACACTTCTTCCACGACAGATTCTCCACAGTCAACTGAAAGAGGGAAAACGAAACCAAGGAGGTCAACCAAAACGCTACAATGATGTTCTGAAGGAAAATATGGCAAAGTGCCGCATCGATACCAGCAACTGGGAGGCGACGACAACTGATAGGCCCTCATGACGTCGAGAAGTCTACGAAGGACCACAAACTTTTGGAGAAGAGCGACGTAGACATGACACCGAAAAGAGGGACCGCGGGAAGGAGCGAGATAACAGAGGAAGAGACAATGCGGCCAGAGACTGGGTGTGCCAAGGCCAAGACTATGGAAGAGTGTGCGGCTCGAGAATTGGTTTATATAGCCATCAGAAAACGCACAATCGACGACAAAAAGGATATAATAGAAGATAATCATCCTCGGTATCGAGTGATCGTCTCTATGATGATGTTGACTCATAGCGAATATTGGTCCCACCTGGGGCAAAGTCCAATGAGAGGAATACCAGTTTTCATTCTGTAGCTGTGAGCCTCAATTAGGGTTTCCACATTGATATGTAGGCGTCATGTCAGTCCGAAAATCGATTCCAGTGCAGCTAATGGTGTGGTCGATTACTTTCGTTATACACTAACGTGCCTGCAGCCTCTGGAAGATAGCGAGTTCCGTGATACGCATTCCCGCATTCCACCATTTTCGTTTTCAATCTCCAGGATTCACTAAACATCCATTATACCAGATAATATGGAAATTTTTAAATTATACGGGCTTTTGAATGGGCTGCTTCAGGCTTATATCAAGTGTAATATCCGACTATAAGTAACCCTGGCCAATCATTCAGGCCTATGATGTATAATTTTCTGTTATTTTAACAGCAACGTTAAGTTATCTGTTTATTCTACACGACACGTGAAAATAGAGACAGGTATAGATTTTGAGCTATAACACAACTGTTAAAATAACAGGAGAGGATACATCATAGGCCTGATTATCTGTTCACTGAAGTTCCCAAGGTCGTTCAAGCATTGTACTCTTCTTCCATTGGTGAACATTATTATGTTATTGTCTTTTGTGACTGGATCATAGAATTGTTTTCCACACACCACTTTCGAGATATATTCAGTGCTCGTTTAGAGCTGTCGACAAATTGATTAAGGTTAAGAGTAGTTTTTTTTCCGGATCCTGATTAATAGTGTTTTTCTGGATATTCGTTTTCAGTCACGGAGAAGAATATGTTCAACTCAAAAATGTAAATTAAAAAAATATACGGAAATTTAAGAGAAAAAAATATGAGTAGAAAGGTATAACTTGTATTGACTGACTTGTAACCAGAAGCTCTCTTCCATCGTCAGCCAATATGAGGAAGGTGAGGAGATAATTCAAACCACAAGACAACATTTATAAATAAAACCATCGCCAGTTTAGTCTACGAATGAAGTTCTATGATAAATCGTGTTAAATGCTTTTCCTAGGACCAGAAACACAGTCATAATATCTTTCGTTTCAATATTTCTTCTTTGCCTTTGTGACCGATTTACACAATAATTTCAAATTTTTAGAAAGTTTGTCATATAAACGTCTCGAATATTGTTAGGAAGTTATATTACAGATAATGGCCGATGATAGGTATGTCATCACATTGATTGCAAAGTTTCAGAGACTCTTAACATGTTAATGTCCTATGATGAATATCAAATGTTTTTGCATGTCGGTTGTTCTGTCTCAATATAATGTCTGTTTCGCATTTAAAATAAACCATAATTTCACGTTCAGGCAAAAATAATCTGATGTGATTTTCAAGTCATTTTTGGCATGATTATTTTTTTTTTATAATAACGTAGTTACATATTTAACTTTTTAATCAGATAGTACAATTGTGATACTTTAAGTAATTATTCCATTTAAGGCTTTAAAATGTTCTTAGGAACGTAGGTAGGTACCTTAAAAATTTCTTGCCTAACAATTAGGGCTTAAAGAATGGAAAGGTTAAATTTCAATTACCATAAGGTCAAGAGTATTACAAACTGTTAATACTGTTCTTCAGTCATTAAAGAATGTAAACTTGACCACCTACACCATGCCTTTTCTTGTATTAAAAATGTCTTAACACACATATTAACAGTAATTTTCACTATGCCATATGTTTGTATGGGCGTATAGTGTGACCCCAGGTGGATCGTTTTTATTTAATAAAAAAATCTTGCATCAACACATTTTGCTAAGTGTATAAGAATGGTAAAACCTATTTTCAAGAAGGTTTCAGATTCTAAAAGGTTCAAACTATTTATACCTAAATGTGATGAAAAATCTCATGTTTAGCTATTCCATACTCGCAAAACGATTTTAATGAAGGTAAGGAAACCATTTAACAGAAAATTGCTAAACATTTGAAATATTGATGCGGTTACGATGTGCAGCATTTTTATGGGTTCAAAATTAAAAAAAAAAAATGTTTTACCTGATGATGACGCCGAAAATTGCTACTTTCCGGTCGTTCGTGAATTTTAACACCACCACCCAACTCATAATGGCTCCTTGAATTGACGACTTTCGAGGACTTTTGAGCTTTAACACAATCGGATTGTTTTTTGTTCCAGCTGGGTGACTGTGACCTCGCCCTATCCAAGTGGTTATTTTGTTGTTTATTTATTTTTGTTTTTGGTATTTTAATACTGAAATTTTCAATATTGCAAGCGGCCATCGGATGGTTGTAGATAGGCTGAGGTTGACCTGAGTTTCCTGAATTGGGATATAAGGGATTTGTAGCCACTGACCAACGGCGATACCTTGCCGGCTCAACATCGTAGTCTGGTGGGGGTTCATAGTAATAAGTTGGGTTTGGAGAACTGAAAATGACAAATTTTATGAGTGCTTATAAGTTCTATGGTTTCAGGATGCAATTCCTTAGGATATTTGATATTTTACTAAATGCATAGGTTCAGAAATTATTTTGGTATTCTGACGTAGATGGTGAAATTTAAAAAAAAAAAGTAGGTATTTTTTTTAGGTATATCCTGACATGTTTCTATGTTAGCCTAAAAAACTTTGGCCTAAAGTACCATGTTTTCTTACAACGTAGTTAATAATATAGTGCAAAAAATTGACATAAAATCAAGATACTAATGAATTATGCCGACTGAGATAATAAAATATTATTTATTTATATCCAATGTTTAAATTCAAGTTTTTCTCCGGGCTAAATCCAAGATTTATTCGCACACGATGCGAAATTGTCACTTATTATGTGGAAAACCCATATTTCATTCAAAAATCCACCTATACTGGGGAGAAGTTCCATCTTATTTTTAATCTTCATTTACCTATACAGGGTGAATCTGAAAGTGAGGTTTTTTTTAACAGAAAAATAAAAAGTTTTTATACGGGATGTCTCAAATAAAAGATGACTATATACTTTCGATTTGTTCTAATAGAATAACCTGTATATTATCCCATATCTGAACTCTACTGGGAATTCTGATTATTCAATATTCACCTCCGAGAAACGACAATTTTACCTTTCTGACTCGCTACAGACTCCACCTCCTAGGTACTTCTAAAGCACAATATTCAGTTTATTTGTCACTCATTTGTAAAACGTCACTTATCAAGTCAAAACATAAACAACGAAAATTGATTTTTACAAGCTACTGGCTCTACTGACTTGTAAAATTGACAGCTAAACTGTAAAAACTTTTTACAAGTCACTAGAATTATTTATTTTTGTATAATCAGTTTTATCACGAGAATAATTGCTTGTAGGTACCTTCTGGAAGACTTTTCTGGTGATAAACTGTTAGCTACGTCTGTAGATTCATTATTAATATCTTGTTGCACATTTCTGGAAAAAAAAAATTGCAAAATGGAAATCTGTCAGAAAACCTATTTTTAACGAACACTTAAAAACGTCTCATTCTCATAGTTATACCAACTACCAGAGCTTGTGTGAGAAGAAATCAAGGGAAAACATATAAATTTCAAAATTTTGTTATGTATTAATTTTCTATTTTGTCCCTATATCTTTTACAAATGAGTAACGAATAAATTATTGTACATTATACGCCAGGTAGCAGTTTTCACTGGCTCTTGAAGGTGACAAGCTCGCCTGACGGCTCGCTAGTCATTTCCTTCAATCGCCAGTTTTACCTGGCTAATAATGTAAAATACTATAAAACGTTAGACATACGACATACCTGCATAATTGGATATGGGGATATTACACGCATTTGAGCTCGAGTCAACAGAGTGGAAGGGAAGTTTAGAGAGTTTGGCCATGTTCGAGATCTGCCCAAATCTCACCGTCCCAATCTAAGTGGAGCTGATCAGCTAGGTAAATATTTTATTATCTGTAGTCTGTAGAAGGAAACCCACACATTGCATTACCTCATGAAGGCTGAAGATCTTCCTTATCAAAATCTACTATTCATAGAAATAGTCGTTCGGAGAAATACTTATCCCCCTTACAGAGTTATTCCGCTTCAGGAACTTTCTGAAGATGACTCTGATATACGCAGTGAATTTTGAGAACATGTGCAAAATTTTAGGTACTGGGCCACAACCTTCGATGGTGAAGGCGCACAGACAGCATCCAGTTAAGTTAAATGTGTGAAGTGGTCTCGTTGAAGACAGAATACTAGGTCCACATTTATTTGACGGAATATTAACCAGCCAAATGTACTTCGACTTTCAGTTCCAGTTAATTCCTGCATTATTAGCCCCATTCCCGGATCGCCAAGAACCAGAGGCAGAATTCTGTAACGGATACAGATCGTTATCGATATTGCCATGGCACTTGCTGTCTTCTTTTCTTTTTTCGAAATCAATAGAGAGGGGACGTCAATAGGGATAGCGGAAATATCTCTATTCGTTACAGAATTCCAGCCCAGATCTCCCAGATCGATAACTTTGTTCCAGCAGGATAGGGCGTCACCTTACTATGCAGCTCCAGTACGTGCGTTTTTTAAATGGACTGTACAACATAATCGTTCGATAGGAAGCATGATAGATCACCAGATCTGAACCCATTAGATTTCTTCTAGAACACACCTAGCCAATTTGGAAGACCTGGAAAAAGGAATTCCAAGAAAAGTGCGTTTTATACCACCAGAAGTTGTCAGGAATGTTCAAGGAGCCTCCACCGTCTTGGATATTGCCTAATTGTAAATGGAGCACATTTTCAACGTTTATTTTTGTTTCTTTTTGTCGATGCAATATATTTTAAAAATAATGCAATATTTGATTTAACTCGTCCTATATCCTGTCAAATAATATTAGGGATAGGCCCTCAGTGAAATCTCATGAAATTTTGCATATTGATAGTTCTTGACCTATAGATCAAAAATGTCCATGGGCACAAAGTTCTAAAAATTCGCTTTTTGAGTTACAGTCGTTTGAAGTTGCGTCATATGTGAAATTGCTCAAACCTTATACAGTCTGGTCATTTCTGTTACTTTGTGAATTTTAGAACGACATATGGATAGTATAATACGTTTTAAATTATTCGATTCCAGAAATGGCGACTTTTAAACCATAGGCGTCCTAAGAGGGTTTTAAAAATTATTATAAAATCGAGTATTGAAAATATATAAAAAAAGATTTGGTTGAAAATAAAACAAAACTGAAAGGTAAAAAATAAAAAGAGGATTCACAAACCAATGACTTAAGATTGTCGCTCGAATAAAGTATAACATATTTTTTTTTATTAATAAATATACAAATTCTTAACCATTAATAATATCTATTGCACCAGGCATGTCATTTCGATTGGTAGCATCTAGTGCAGTGTTTAATAAAGAGTCGTCTGGATATTTAACACCTGGATCATGTCTATCCAAAGTACCACACAATACTAGCTACGTGAGCACAAGTGCCTACCGTCCTTGCTCCGGTAATGGAGTCATTCTCAATTCTCTCGGAACATTATTTACAAATAAAATAAATACCTGATGCTTCTCAGCGTTTCTAAATCTTCAGCATACTCTCACCCCTAAAAAGCTTGCTTCATTCATATGCTCATCGATTTGAAGTTCATTTTCATCGTTATCTCTAATAACTTTATCTTGAATATATGATGCTGCAAGATTCACTTGGTAAATACCGATGGTAAAATGTTTCAAGAATTATAAATCGAGCACAGGAAATTCCGGTACATCGGCATGGTTAATCCTCCTCCATTGGGCGTTCCTTCTTCTAAGATTATCGACCTTGACACGTGCTTGCATCACATTTGGAATATGAGATCTCTCTATAATATGTTCAGCTGCCTGGGTAGTAGCACCTTCCATGCGTATAATAGGATGGTATTTATTTGAAATTGCGCCAGCTATCCTATTAAAATCGTTAAGATTTTTGTCGTGCTGCAAGTTGACCGTTCCAGTAAAGAACTTAAATACTGATCGAAAATGTCCATTCCTGCTTTCAACTATCCATCGATTTTTGGTAACAATACGTGCGGAATTAGCATCTTCTGTAAGGAGTTGACGCTGACAAGGTAGAAGAATTGCCGGCATTTTATACTGAATGCGGAGCATTTCTAGAAGTTGTCTGGCATCACGATAACTTCTATCTACCAATACAATGTCACCATCTTAAAGCCAATGTCTCAATGCGTTTCCGTCTTTTTCAAAATTATGCCTGAGTATTTCTGCGTCGTTGTTACGTGAATCACAGAAATATGGTCCAAATATATCCAAAATAAAGCCATCAGGGGCAACGACCAGTGTAGGTTTAAGAAGGTGTCCATGCTTATATGAACCGAGTAGGATTGACTCAAAACACGAAAATTAGAGCTTTTATCTATGTAGGAATAGGTCGAATCAATTATAGTAGCTTTTGGTTCGTTCGGTTGACGATTGTACAAAATGTTGGAAAATTATGTTATGTCTTGAGCAACAAAATCTTGCCTAGTTATTGCCCGGAGCCCAATATTTTCAGAAACAAACCTTTGAGCCAACGATCTTCTCAAGTAATCTATAACTGAACTTAATGTTTGTCTGCTATCATATTCAAAAATTCATCACTTAGCCCTTGTCGAAGTTTGCACAAAAACCTGAGCAAATCTTTTTTGCTGATATATCGTAGTTGACCATTTTGAAGAACATGGTCACCATGGTGAAGCATATCCTCAATTTGCTCTTCCGTTATCGGAGTGATACATTGAAATTCTCCAGTAGTCGAACTATTCTCATCTAATCTTGGTTTATTGGCAGCCACATCTCCCAATTTATTTGAAAATAGCAGCATTTGCGGACCTTTAATGACAGATGGTCTGTTAATATAGCGTAAACAAGGTAATAAAATAGTTAGGAATAATCCATTTGCATCTAAATGGTGTGCACAGGATCTAACATTTTCAGAAACGAAAATTTTCTTTTCAACAAAAATATTTTCTCTGCAATCTAAAGATAGCCTATGCAAATCATTTTCACCATGACAAATGACACATCTGCGGTTTGCTGTTTGTGCTAATACATTTAATCTGAGACATGTGGGATCTGCTTCTGTTACAGTAATTTCATTAGTAATAAATATATTACAGTTGGTGCACAATACGGATTGGTAATTGATTTGTAAAGGTGGGCTTTTCAATTTGTCATGCCGTGTTATAGCTGTTTGACGTTTTAAAATGGGATTATTTTCATCACCATTAACCCTAACAATATTTCTTGCGTGGCATGCGTTGTACATCACATAATGTATTCGTGGGGGTCTTCCAGCCATCTTCTTCTAAAAGTTGCCAGTAGATAAAACACAATGAATGGATACAAGACTATACCAATCACTCAGTTTGGCACTGTATAGCAAAAGATTTTTTGTCAAAAGCATAGACTTGACAATGAAATTATTTTTGACACATTTACAATAAGTTACGGTTGCTATGTTAACATAGAGGACTTACGCCCATTGTAAACCACCTGAATAGGTCTTTTCTATCAACCTCATCACACTTTAAATATTTTATTTTCTACTTAACTATTATTGATTCATAATACCTTGGAAACAAAATAAGATAATATACCCATAACAACCGAGGGCGTTATGATCTATAACGCCCGCTTATGATGCCCGGCGGTTGTTATGGGAAAATAATGACGTGAGTACAGGTAGTAAAGGTACATGTTTGATGCTAATTTGGTGAAGGAACATTATATTCAGTAGAAAATAAAGCATTGTATGCACCATTCGAAGAAAATTAACCCACGAGCCCTAGTGAACTTTCTTCTCATGGCTAAACATTCATTTAACTCACTTGGTTTATAAATAACTATTATTTTATAATTATTTTTAACCCCTCTTAAGACGCCTATGGTTTAAAAGTGGCCATTTCTGGAATCGTATAATTTAAAACGTATATTATATGTACTACAAGAATACTATGATGTCGTTATTAAATTCACGAAGTAACAGAAAAAACTAAACTGTATACGGTTTGAGCAATTTCACATATGACGCAACTTCGAACGTCTGTAACTCAAAAAGGCGAATTTTTAGAACTTTGTGCCGGACACTTTTAATCTATAGGTCAAGAACTATCAATATGCAAAATGTCATGAGATTCTACTGAGGGCTAGTTCTCATAAGGTTTCTGCGGGGTCCTTTCCAGAAACGCAGGTAGATAGACCAGGCTATGCCATATCAAATGTGTCGAGGGTTTTCAGTAGTTAAAAAAAAATCGGAAGTGAGTTCATGCGCAACTCAAAATGCTAACCAACGTGCCCAAGCGTTTTTGCAAATGCAAAATGTGAAGATTTCTGTTGGGAATGGATCATAAGAAAATCTACAGTTAATCGGATAATAATTATTTTTGAGCATTGCCCACTATGTTAATAGACAGCGCTAAAACAATCAGCCATGTGAATAAAGTGTAGCAAATGCTTTTACTCTACCTCCATCTCTTTTTGCTGCATAAAAGCTGAATATGTTTATCTCAAAGAATTTAAGTAAAAGCATTTGCTTCTGTTCTTTTCATAATGAGCCATTGAAAAGTAAACTATCTTGGACAAAATATTTTTTTCTAGTTTTTCCAAAAGCATTCTACCGAAAAGAAGAAGTATCAAAACCGGTATTAAAATCATTGAGAAGTCTCTCATAATAATCATGTAATTGAATTGTTCGTAAATGCATGCTATAAGCATTTTCCGCGACAAGGTTAAATAAAGCCGTACAACTTTTTTGTAACTTTTTGCATTTATAGTGCCGATTAGTTGCAGCCTTGAGTATGTATTTATGACAGAAATAACTTGAACTTGACCGCGAAGCTGAATTTGAAACGTTGCCTATATAAATAAATAATAAGTTCGTCTTTTCCCTCGACTAGGTATTATAAAAATGATGTTGCTTTTTGACTATGAAATTTTTTTAAAGCCACAATCAACAATCCGACGTCATTCAACGTAGTATTACAGGCAAAATATAATACCTGACATCGGCATGCGAATTTTCACATTTCTACTGTTTTAAAGGACCCTGCGCAAAGTATACGGAAATTGTGTTTATGTCAGAATTGGCTGAATTTTGTATACAGGGTGTTTGGTATATCGATCGGAAGTTTTCAATGAGTGATAGTTTCCAAATGACCCCAAGTATCACTCATTGAAATCTTCCTATCGATGTACCAAATATCCTGTATAATGTAGATCACGCCTTTCTGATTAAAAGTTACCATTGCACCAATCCTGAAAAATTACTCCTTGTTGAGAAAATTACGCGCCACAAAAAAATGAGTCCTTTTTCAGGATTGGTGCAATGGTAACTTTTAATCAGAAAAGCGTGATCTACATTACATACAAAATTCAGCCAATTCTGACATAAACACAATTTCCGTATACTTTGGGCAGGGTCCTTTTTGAATGAATTAGGTTCAACGATACTAGTGAAGCTCCTGTTTAGATATAAATTATATAAACTTACTTTTGGGAGTCGATTTTCAATGTAAATATTCAAAAAAATTCATAACATTAATAATGACTGAAATAGCTGATGTAGAAAGGGACGAAAGCTGGGTATGCCACACCTGTCAGGTTAGGCCATGTCAAACGACGCGACGTCGACCTAACGTTCGTCAACAACGACTTTGCTGATTTAGGATTTACCAAACGGTTGTCAGATCTATTGTCACCTATGCCTCGTTGGTATGGTGGCCAAAGACTGAGCAAATTACTGCACAGAACAGTCTACGTAAAGTACAAAGCCTAATCTGTCTAGCAATAACAAGGACTATGTCAACCTGACCCACCAAAGTGATTTACTATGGCCACAAACATCTGTGCCCAAGAGTGCCTTGGAAGAGGCCTTTCAAAAAATCTTATATTTACATACTGTCCAACAGTCAAGCGGCTCTAAAAGCTCTATAGGAGCCATCAAATGCAATTCGCAGCCAGTTTTGGGAGGGTAAGAATATCCTTAAGCAATTGGCTTGGGAGACACAAAGTAACCCTGATGTGAGTGCCAGGACACTAGGGCATAGAGGGCAACGAGGAAGCAGACCACCTCGCAAAGCAATGCGCTTTAACATCTTTTCAAGGCCCAAAGCCTTTTTGAGAACTAATGAGAAGCCACGTCTCCGAAGAAACGAACAGATGAGAAAAGGACCGAATGTTAGTTCATTGGAGATCAATTCCGGATCTGAGACAGGCAAACAGGTTCATATCCATATCAGCAAGGAGATCTGAACAACTTATTGACATGAACAGAAGAGACATTAGAACATTCGTATGTCTGCTTATTGGGCATTGCCTGGTGAAGCAGACTGCTAGCAGAATCGGACATGGAAGCGCCTCGACGATTGGAAGAAATTCCAACTTACGACGGCCATCAAGCCCGAATGAAAACACTTTATGTTATGGTATAGTTACGAAAAAAAACGTCAATTTATAAACGAATCCGCGATTTTGTTATGTTTGAGGACATATAACGACACTATTCCATCAAGGCGCCGTAACAGATCCTTTTTGAATAACGTAACATGTAACCTAAAAAACAAAGATGTGACGAAATTGGGATGTTTTTTTGCTTAGTGGGAATTTCTGAGAGACAGTAGGGTGTTGATATTCATTAAAAAAAAATATTATAACTCCGGGAAAAAAAAAATATATTGCAAGTGACGTTTATATAATATATCAACACCCTGTACCTATCTCAGAAACTGCGCATTTTCAGGCACGTGTTTATGGGGACTTTTTTTTAATATCGTAACGAATCACAGCCTGAAGTAACGGACCGTACTTAGGAAAGACCCTGTAATCTAGGAGATCGGATATATCCGGATCTTTGACACCTTTATATAATAGAGGAATTACATCCTTTTCTCTTTTATGACCATAAGGATATCAAATTTATTTTATAGGTAGGTATCTTACCTTAAGTTTAAAGATGCTCGTTGGCGAGATCTAGGCTTTCTCTCTGATGCTGACTGAAAAGATCTCGACTTCCCATTAAGAGAAGTAAGATTTTCAGGTGGAGGGACATAAAAGGCAGTCTTTGGTTGATTTGTTTGGTCTTTACTGGCGTTATGGAAGAACTCTTGGACAGAAAGCGCTCGTCTTCTTTTTAGACCAACGTGTATTTGGTTAAATTTTGCTCTTAGGACATCTTGGACACTACTTTTCTTCGTACCACTTGGAAGCCTGAGTGACGAAGTAGCGTGAGGAGTACTGACTAGAATATGAGGACTAGTGGAATCAAGCAAAGCACTTTTCGATGTTTCGGAGTTGTGACCACGCAATGATGAGCAGCAATTTCGAATTTTCTTCCATTGTTGGGAAATGCTGCCATTTAGATCTATAAAGGAATACATTATTTTATTATTTATTCACAAGAAGATCAAAACATTTAACATGTGCGAAAACAGCAGTCCAAAGATAGCAAATCGCGAAGTCGAGGATGAAAGATCCTACATACACTGTTCTGTTCAACCAAACCTCGGTCGATCTCTAAGGGGATTAAGGGGAATAAAATACAATAGAGGCTGCTATTTACATTTTGACGATTTGCAAAAGACGAAGCCATCCTTATGAGAATTAGCGCGATGTCTATTGTTTATTTTCCTTCGGAGAAAATCTCTTCTCAAATTGAGACAGAACTGAATCAAATCGGTTTTACACAAATAGTTGAGTAAGTATCTAAAAAATATTTCTTAAATCTGACTTTTTTCATAGTTTGAGGATGTTTATTCCAGAAAACATAGAGCTGGAAAAAAAATATTTATCATTCAATTGTCATTATTTATTCCCAAATGTGATAGGAGCGTATGCAGGGAGTTTGCATCATTCAGAAAATAACCCCAAAGAAAGAGGCACAATTAACATTGAAAATAGGCCCCCGTAAATTTCAACCAAATTTCAATATTTTAAAGGTATCATCATGGCAAAAAAAAAATTGAATGCAAAGAGGATCGTATGTCTGTGATAGCAGATATAGCTTATCAAAGTACGTAGGTCCTGCTAAGCTATGCATAGCAAATATCCCTATACGTAGATTTTCTTGAATATCTCGAAAAATACTAGTCCGAATTTGACGTTTTTGGAGTTTGATACCGACAAAAGCACCCCAAAAACGTCAAAATCGGATTAGTATTATTCGAGATATTCAATAAAATCTACGTAGGGATAGTTCCTCGGATATTTCTTATGCATAGCATAGCAGGACCTACGTACTTTGACAAGCTATATCTGCTATCACAGACATACGATCTTCTTTACATTTCAATTTTTTTTTTTGCAATGATACATTTAGAATATTGAAATTTGGTTGAAATTTACGGGGGCCTATTTTCAATGTTAATTATGCCTCTTTCTTTAGAAAAATTTGTGAGTCGTTGGCATACAAACGCTATAATTTTTTATTTATTTGAGGTATATCTCAAATTAAGGATTATTGATTTGCAAAATTTGAAATTCAATATTTCTGAATTATCAGCTTCTTCGACTTGTTATGGAATTAGTTGATCACAATTCCTGCCCTTTTGCTCAAAATCGCAGGCTGCAGTGGTTGAAATATATTAGTTTTTTAATTCCCAGCAAATGAATAAAAAAAATCGTAATTCAAAAACTATGGGATTGTAAACCAAAATGAGGGTGGTTTTCAAATTCCAGAGGGGTTGTTAATACTCGCCTACTATTGCATGCCGTATAGGGAGTCAAATGTGATTTTTTTAGTTTCCAGTATGTTAATATAATAAGTACCTATACCCTTCGCTAGAACTCGCAGGTCAGGATGAGATTTTTTCAACAGATGAAACAAAAATAAAGTCGTTACTGTAAAACCACGGGAATGAGCACCAAAATGTTTGGCTCCACGATCCGCTATCTTTCGTATGATGTCTGCATACACGTTAACATTTTATGGTTTTTGTAAAAAGAAAAAATGAAGTGCATATTGTCGTCGACCAAAACAAATTAGTCATGTAAGAAATATTCAGTAAGAACAACAGAACGTAAATCATAATTTTGATTACCGCAACTATAATATCGTCAAGGTGTCTCTAATAAAAACAATTCATGCATACCTACTACGCATAATGAGGCTTGTGTGGTATGCCGACGTCACGTTGGCGTTAGTGTCGGCCCACTTTTATTTTATATTTTATTATAAGCACAAGACTTCCGAAACATTATATACGTTTATTGAATTAGAAAAAAGTGCGTTTCCTCTTTTTGTTTCCTGTTTAATGCATGTACATACTATAACCAACAATTTGTAATTATTTTTCATTTTCAAGAATTCAGTTTTGTGTGATATTTTTTACAATTTGCAGAAATATACGTCATGACTCTACGTAATAACCGGAGCCCAAATTTAGTAACAGAATATGTAATTCTTTCCAAGGCGCAGTTTAATAATATAAGCCCAAAAACACACGGAAAATCAAACTCAGGTTTTCCTATTTCAAACTTTGAATTTTTTCTGTAGGCATTATAGGCACCTACACCTACCATATTTGATTTTTGCATATATGTATATAATTATTATTTTTGACATTCAAACAATATTTCACAAAATGATGAGAAAGAGAAAATATTCTTGAAAAAGTAGTAGGTATTGTAAAAAAGTATAATTTTCTCATTCTGCACGTTAATGGACCACTTCGCAAAACAGCAACTATCACCACTTTAGACTTTGCTTTAGACTTTATACTAGAGCAACGATTTAAAATATATTGGCCAGCAGTAGGGATGATGCCATGTCATTTTAAAACTTGTTATGTCATTTCAGACTTTGTTTAATATTTTATTTAGAAAAGCAGAAAAAAACATTGCTACACATCAGGTCCACAATAGCGGTAAATAGCCACAAAAACCAATAATCTACCTTTACCTACGTTAATTAATATCAAAATTTAAAACAATTTTTTTTTCAGTTTTTACCCACAGATGTATATATAAAAAAAAAAGTTATTTCTGATTAGGTACAAATATTGATGATCTTCAAAGAGTACTCTTATAGCGCTGTTACTTTACAATAATATTTAGATGAAATAGGTAGGTATAAGTCCTATTTAATGATAAAAAAGTCAAAGAAGTAGAACATTTCGTATCTTAAGTTATAATAACAGTTAATTAATTAACTTTATATTTTACCATCCATAGTCCACTGTTTAGTATTTTTTGATCTAAAAAGATAAGAAGCGCAACAGTTATTAAAATACATATTCAAGTACAAACAGACATTAATAAGTAATTTCCATCGCAATTATAAACGAGTTTATGAAACCAAAGTTATTATTTATGTCCAATTATTTGAATCTTAACTATATACTTATACCGGTGTATTAGTCATTATAACTTTAATGAGTCAAATGTTTAATTTTTTCTCTATTCTACATAAAATTTTAGTTTTACCTTGTTTAAATTTGAAAACAGAAGTAAATTAATGATTTCACAAAGTAGGTACGAAGGTATCGATAATGGTTTATTATGTAGGTAGGTACTTCATATCAAAAAAAAAATTGTTCTAGGTGTTTAGTCACACATCAAAACTATAAATTATTAACGCAAATGTCACTGTTGCAAATTTTTGCGGCATCTACAGAACATAAATTAAATTATTTCATATATGAAATCACTTACCAATCTCGGAAAAATCATTAAAAAGGGCCTTCGAACACATAAAATAGCAAACTAATAAACACAACACAATCGAAGTTATTTGTTGAAACACTGTTTGAAGACTCGACGATACGCTTGATGAGCGCGAACAGTAACTCAGGCCCGTAATGAGCAAGTTTCCTTTAACGGTATACTGCCGGTATATTTACAGGGTCTTTTAGAAGCGTACTTGTAATCCCTGCGGTACTAATTACGATAAATGCATATATTTTTAAATTGTTTAATCATTAGTGACGCTTCTTTCATATAACATGTTACCCAAGCGATTTAACCTTAGGATTTTGTAGTTTTTCCTGTTAGTTCTTGGTAAATTAAATCATCTTCCTTGTGAAGAAAGGTAGGTAGGTATACATCTAAATTATTTGCGGACGAAGGCGACTTCTTAGGTTTTGTTACCCCAGGGAAAATGATAAGTAGATGAAAATTTTGAATATTAGCCATTTTCGCCTACTCTTCATTGGTCTTCTAAAAAATAAAATTTTACACTTGCTAGTACTTCTCTGTCCTACGGGGAGCGCTTTTAATATACAAGGTGTCTATGTGTCACTTATTTCAGGAAGCCTTATATCGTGATAGCAAGGGAAAAATCAGGATGCAAAGGTTGTAAAATATTGTAGATTGTAGATTGTAAATTGCATCTGAAGTCGTTTCCGACTTATATACACCCTACAGCCTCACATCATCGTGTACTGCTCACTTCTTGGGGCGTTAGCTGTGCCCCTGCAAGGTATTCCAGCCTCTTCCAAAACTGAGCAGGGGCATTTATAGAGCAGATGGTTTTGCTGTTTCTGCTGCAGAAGTCATTATCTGCCTGGTTTATAGGTTTCAGAGGATATTTTACTGGTCGATGCAGTGATGCCGCGAGACGAGACGAGACGAGAAACCGCTCTCTCTCTCGTCTTGTCGCGAAGGTTCGACGAGAGACCCTCGATACCAGACGAGAGAGCTCGACTCGACTCGTTTTCTCTCGTGAGTTTTGACGCATAATAGGCAGAGCTGTTGTAGGTATCAAGAAAAAGTACTTAAGTATTAAGTACAAGTTTCTTTTTTAATACAAATCAAGTACCAGTACAAGTATAAGTACAGAGGGAAATACTTAAAATATCAAGTAAATTGACTATTGAATTGTCCAAATTCAAGTACAAGTACCAAATTCCACGAAAGTCAGAGTCAAGTTTAAGTATGTACTTAAACTTGCGTACTTGAAATGACATTTATGTGGAAATACTTCAAAAAATAATTTAAGTATTTTTTATTTCAAGTATTGTTCAAATTAAACTAACAAATTAAATTATTGCCATCGATAATCTTCTGATTATTGCTGCATATATTAGCTCTGTTCCAACCGACATGAGAACCGTTCGCAGAACCAGTAATTTCCATTTGCCAACCTACTTTTTTAATAAGTTGAACGTTTATCCTAATTGACTAATCAATTGATCGACTGGAAATTAACGTTCTGGAGAGTTTCTCATATCGGTTGGAACAGAGCTCTTGTCGACATTTCTTGTGTTCGGTATTTTGCTCAACGAGCAGAGCGTGTTGAGTGGAGCCGTAATCACGTGACCAAAGAGCGAACAGAGGAGTTGAAAACTGTATCAAAGTGCCCGAAATTTTAGTAAACGAACGCCAATGAGCCTGCACCGAGTACACTTTTCAAATAAACGAACGGTAAATTCAAGCTCGGAGAACTCAGATCAAAATACCAAACGCGCGGATTGTATTGTTTTTGCGTTCTCACACCTATTGCTGCGTCAGTTTAAATAGGTTTTGCAATTTCTGCGTGTGTTTATAACGTCACGCGATGAATAGACAAATTTTTATGTCGTCAAATAAGTTTTGAAGTATTTAAAAATACTTCAATTAAAAATATTCACTTCAAATAATTTGACTTTTACTTAAGTAATTTAATATCACTTAAGTACAAATTTTCAAAAGCTTTCAAGTAAAATATACTTGACTGATATTTTAAGTATTAAGTACAAGTAAAATTTGAAAAACTTGAAATTGCAGTATCAATGTTTGGATTAGTACTCATATACTTCAGTATATTTTTGTACTTAAGTAAGTACCGTCAAACGGGGTGACTAAGGACGGATTTGACACTTTTTTGTGAATATTTCATGACCAGAATTAGTAAATGGCAATTTTAAGGTGGCTACATGTTTCTACATATTTTGGGAACACGTATGCTAAAAATAATATTTTTTCGAAAATCTTAAATATTTTTTTTTAAATTTTGAAAATTGTCCCGTTTCACCCCGTTTTCGGGGTGACTAGGGACAAGCACTTATTTAGCACTAGAAACCATTGTAAGGCGTTTCTGGAGTGAGACGGGACAAAAATAGAAATTTTTAAAAAAGTAAACATTATTTTTATTGATTTTTGAACAAAATAAAAAAATTTCTACACAAGAAATTATAAAAAAAAAGGTCATTTCTTTCGATAACAATAATGGGTCTACCTAATTTTTCAAATTTATTTGGAATGGAAATTTAACTGCACCTCTTCGCAGTTCCACAGGTCTTGGAAGTATTTTCAAAACCTGGGAAATGTTTACTGTGGATTCATCGGGAACTATTGGAAAAGCAAAGCCATTTTCTATTTTCGAATGTTCTCTTAAAAAAGTGATTCTTATTTGGTCACCAGATTTGTCTAAAATTTTTCCCACAAAATTTTTCGAAAACTTTCCGTCTGTAAATTTTACAATTGCAAAATCTTCAATGTGCAAATCAGTCACTTCCTCTGGCTCTTCTTCCAGGTTTTCCACATCTTCATTTTGATTTCTTTCTTCTCCCTCAGACTCTATGTCTTGTATGCTCCCATTATCATCAGATTCACTTCTATTTAATTCCATCTCCATTTCACTATTGTCAGAATCGGAGTCAGAACTTCTTTCACATGTCACACTTCTACCGGGTGTTACTAGAATTTTCTTTCCTTTACCTTTCTTTGCTGGGTTTGTTGGAGTTCGCTGGTTCTTTAAAAAGTCTGTGAGCGTTTCGGTCCAAGCTAGTTGGCCCTCATCTTCTCGAACAGGCTCTGGGGGTAGACGTTTCAAGACCTGATCCCTGTCGAGTGGAATAAGACCACAACAACGAAATCCAGCCTTTATGTTGTCTTCTAGCTTGTCTCCAATATTATCCAAAGCTTTGTTTAATAAGCCTGGAAACTCAGGTTTTGGGAGTACTCCTTTATTTTTTTTCTTCCACTCTAACAAAATTTTTCTCCACGATTGCTTGAGTGGTTTAAAAAATGCTGTATCCAGAGGTTGTGTAAGGTGGGTGCTATTGGGAGGTAGCAAAACGAATCTGATATTATTTTTTTGACATTCCATGATGACATTTTGGGAGATGTGGCTACTCAGGTTATCGCCTATTACAACCTTAGGCCCCTCAAGTCTTCGGAAGTAGCCTAATGCTATAGTCAAAAACCACTGTTCAAATTGATTTGAATCGAACCATCCACTTTTTGTATTTCCATATCTAGAACCCTGTGGTCCATTTCTTATCCAGTTTTCATAGAGATGTTCTGATTTGAACACCACGTATGGCGGCAACATTACACCAGATCCACTAATTGCAAACATGACTGATGTTGATGTTTTACTGGAATCAAGAATACGGTCTGCATGTTTGTTGCTTCTGCGAATAACGACACGCTGACGGCCCGGATCGTCCGTGAAGTTTGTCTCATCATAGTTCACGATGTTCGCAAGAGGAATGTTTTCTAGAGATAAGTTTAGTTCATCAAAATAGACATTTATTGCTTGCCTGTCAACTGCAGCCCTTGCTCGTTTAATGTTTTCGGAAAGTCTTAAAGCCAAATTATTTTTGTGGCGCAATAAAAATGATTTCATCCAGTCCGGCCCTGGCATATTATTTGTAAATCTTTTTATGTTTACACCCATTCTGTCATAGTATTGTTTTACCAAAATCCGTATATCCATTGGTTCTAAGGGAAATCCCCAATCGGCAACACACAACAAAGAATTCACTATTTTTTTTTCGTCTGCTTCAGCTAAGGCCAATTGACCCCCAGGTTTTTTTAAATTTTGTTTGATGACATGCTGATTAATGGTATTTCTGGATACCCCATACCGTTCCTCTAACTCTCTATAACTTGTTTGTTTCGCTAACCTTTCCCTAACGGCCATTTCAAGTCTTTTTTTGTCGTAATTTTGATATGGCCTTGCGCCAAGCCTCCTAACATATTTACGAGGCATGTCCCGAGTCACCCTAAAAAGTGCATTCAATCAGATTTTCTATCACAAAAAAATAAATAAAAATTTCTGAGCAAAAACGACCTTATTACATCTTTAACAACATATTAGCGGACAAAAAAATAAATAAAACATACATGTCATCACTTACCTTGATATATTTACAGACAACAATTGTAGCGGTTTGAAAAAACACCGATTCTCTATACTTTGAAAACAAATTTTTTGTCGCTGTAAAGACTCACCCGGTGCCGCCCGCATTAGGTGTATTAAAGACCTCAAAGTGTATGCTAATCCCCAGAATATTTATGTTGACCTCCCACCTTGCTCACCCCTGTTGCCAATTTTTATGGAAGCGCGCGCCCAAGTGTCCCAAGTCAACCCGTAGTCCAGAGTCACCCCGTTTGACGGTATTTACTTCTAGTATTTGAAATACTCAGTACAACAGCTCTGAGAGTAGGTAAGTTCATTTCGTCTCCGAGGTCAAGAAAATCCAAAAAATGTATACTCGCTCATGTATAAAAATATAATATTGAGTACCCATAATACCCAAAGGTTCTGCAAAATATTGAAATTTTCCAGTGATGTGGACATTTGCGTACTTTTTTATTTTAACAAAGGGTTCGGAACGCCACTGGAATAATGAAGCCTATTTTAAGGAAAATAGTTTGAATAAAATCGACGATTTTTATTTTGTGATATAATAGTATATAATATATTAAGTGTGGTAACTAGGTTATTACCGCACGCGAGAAAAATTTGCAAACCGAGCGGGTGACGCGAGGTTTGCAATCTTTTAGGGTATTACATACAGTAGTACAGTATACCCATGGGCGTCGTTATGAGGTTTCTCAGGGGGGGGGCAGTTTCATAATAAG